ATAAGTTATTTGTTTGTTTACTTTTACTTTTATTCATTATTATTTCTTCCAAGTACTTACCTGTAATTTGTATTTGACTTTTAATAAGTTTGTCTATAATGTAATTACATTCCTCTGCACTGTGCTCTGTCTGTGATTGGCCTTGCGGCTGTTGACTCGGCACATTAATAATAAAGAATTGAATTGAATTATTATTATTATTATTATTATTATTCAAGACAGTAATGATGATGATGATGATGATGATGATGATGATGATGATCCTCGCAATAACAATGGTGACATCACTAGTATGAGAGAGTTTCTTACAGCGATGCTGGTTGATACCCATTTTCTTTTAAATCAATAATTTTGGAGGAAGTCTAACATCGAAGCAATTTTAATGTTCTAAAGCTTGCATTGGGGACATGAAGTCTGGTACAATTACGTCATGAAGCTGAATCAGCCTCAGAATTTTTAGTGAGGGAGGATCCTTGCATTGGGGATTAGTGTTCACGCAAGGCCGTCTATACCACCCATCCGGACTTAAATAATGTGCCAGAATTTTGCAAGGAAACTGACGTGAATTTAAAGCTGAAAAGGTCGCCGCAATTAATCCTCTAGCTGTTGAAACAGAACTCGTACTTCACGTAATGTTGAGTTTTCAATTGACCTAATCCTTCCAGACAAACTATGGCCCTGGGGTCGACTCGGCCTCTAACAGGAATGAGTACCAGGAATGATCCTGAGTATGAAGAGTGGCCGACGAGTAAGGCTGACATCTTCTCGTACATTAGTGAGCGGATTGTCTAGAAAATGTGAAGCCTCGACGTCTCAGAATCCTATAGGCCTCCATGGCCTGTTAGAGGGATAGCTTTATCTTCAAATTATGTAATACTCCGGAACTCTCAAGATTAACCATACACCCGTTTGACTGTCAAGTACAGTTAAGTACTTTGAAGCAACGCGAAATTTAATGTTTCTTAAAGGTGAGAGAGGCAGAGAGGAAGAGAGAGTTACAGAAGAATAAACGTACCGTCTTACAAGTAGCCAGTATTGCCCTTGGTTTTCTTACAGTTCTCGTCCCGGAAGTAGCATATATTCTCTAAGTGTTGTGTCTAGTGAGGCGTGGGTTTGAAGCTTGTGAGTGTGTGTGCATGCGGTCCCCAACTGCAAAGCCGCTGCACCACCCGCGTTTTTAGTGAGGAGCGTCATTACATAACTCACGCTTTCTTCTTTCAAATTGTATCACGTTGCAGCTTCCAACTGTCAGATCCCCTTTCCCAGTTAGACGAAAATTATTAAAAAATTAAATTATAAATAAGACTGAGAAAGAAAGTCGGTAGTCCGTTAACAAACATTTCGGTGGAACATATCGCCTCCATCTTCAGGGTCAAATAAGCCGAGAAATTTACCACAGTGAAGCAAGTGGCAAGCAATAAGCACCTCTACGAGAGCCTCAAATTTCATATAATTGCAGCTTCTTTATTGGAAATCTGACAATATGAAATTATAAATAACAGGCGAGAACTACAAAATTGAATGCTTTCTTGGGATGGGGTGAGACTGAGTCCACTTGGAACGTCGGCCACTAATTGGCCTATTGTACTAGTCCCGGATGATAGATGATGAGGAATGTGGATCAGTCCGTGGGATGAGAACTGGCAGGGGAAACCGAAGTATTCGGAGAAAAGTAAATTTAAAATTCGCTTAGTAAGGGGTGGAGTCCAACTGGGTCCACTAAGCACGGGGCCACTGACTGCCCTATTGTACCTGCCCCGTGTGATTATGATGAGGGAAACTTTGGTGGAATGAAGATAGGCAGGGGAAACCGAAGTACTCGGAGAAAACCCGCCCCAACGCCACTTTGTCCACCATAAATCCCATTTGACCAGACCCGGGATCGAACCCGGGCCGACGCGGTGGAAAGACAGCGACTAACCGCTTGAGTTATGGCGCGGCCCTACTCGGAGAAAACCCGTCTAGCTCTAACATAAACCCCACATGGATTGAACTGGGCTCGAACCCGGGCCGCCGCTGTGGGAACCTGGCGACTAACCTCCTGAACTACGTCACGGCCTAAATTAAATTCATAAACCAAACAATTAATGTAACAAGTCAACAACAAAAATAAAAAATAATAGGATAAAGAAAAATGGTCCCAAGGATGACAATCTTTCATCTAAGAACAGTTAAAGATCGAAATGTCTTCTTCGTAACTGCGGCACAGCTGCCGAAGCATTGAGGCTCAGGCGTTACTCACATTAGAAGTGGAGAGTCCTCAGACTTCTTGGTGAGTACACATAGAAGAGCATTCGGTCCTTCTTGAGGATGACAGTATGAAGCGAAGCATCGATATGCCATCTTCTGTAATAATAAGAACAGTAATTGTATAAAATATATCGAAAGTAACATATTTGGTATAAATGTATCAGAAAACAAACACAACATTTCCGATGAAATTCAGCTCATACAAAATATTCAGGACATGCAACATCAGAATGCAAGCCCCTAGAATTGTACGTGTATGCAACATGACATGAGGACTCCAAACCTGTAACCGCAGTGTGATTATCTAGGAGATACCGAAAACCATTCGGCCGTTCAAGAGGGAGAGTCATTCTCCTTGTGTTATTTCTTACAGCTTCGTAATATACTGGGCAATACAAGAACTTACACACAATACGAGTACATATTCTCTTCAGCATCAGCCAATTAGATCGTTAATCAACCTCCGCTAAAGAAGATTTTGGTGTATGTGAAAATAAAAATTTTAGCACAACAAACGGCAATTTACGTCGTGAGTATTTAGGTAATAACATTTCCATAACAGGCTATGGGTCTTTATGTAGGAGGGACAGCTTGGATTCAATGCCACTTTAAAATCTGGTCATGAGACCCTGATGGGACTCGATGCCAAGACGGACTGACTGACTGAATGATTGACCGTCGGTCGTAACGTTACTCTGACCTAATGCCACAGCAGTTTGGTAAGAACGATAGAGGTGGTCCCCAAAACGTCGGCCATTTTGAAGTAATTGATATGTCTCGTAAGACGAGATGGTTTTTAATTTGTTCTAAAGCTGCTACTACTACTACTACTACTACTACTACTACTACTACTACTACTACTACTACTACTACTACTACTACTACTACTACTACTACTACTACTACTTCAATTGATCTATGACCACCTCATTCTGGGGGTACACCTTCCTCTTACTTACTTACTTACTTATGGAGCTGAGCCCTTCTTGAGGAGAAGCCAGATCTGCAGCTACTCAAGAATTTTCCAGCATTTTATGAAATTCGAAGGTTCACTACCGTATTCACAAGAGACCTCCACTGGTACCTGTCCCGAGTCAGAACAATCCAGCCCATACCATCCCATCCTATCTCTCTAAGATCCATTTTAATATTATCCACCCATCTACGTCTCTTACGTTAATATAATATTAATGATAAAAGTTATGTACGTGTAGGGCTGTCCTGTAGAAACACAAGCTTTATTATTGTGGCGTTGATTGGGATCGAACCCAGAGGATCTTGAATCCCACACTTGTACCGTAGTGCCAAGATTTCTTTCAGTTCCAATTTCACATTTCAGAAGATGAATACGGTTCAAGATTTCAGGTACACTTCACCTTTTATTTGAAATATCAAATGACTCGCATTAATTCATGTTCGTCACTCTTAAGAAGGTTTATGTGCTGAAATCGAGGAAGCAAATGGCTTTTCGAAACACATCTTCTAACATCCATTTTTCCTTTTGTCTCACGCCATTGCGCAAAATACGTACTTGTAATCTTTCATCTTTGCTCAGTTGCGTCTGCTCATTAGTATGTGATAGGTATCCAAAACTCACGCCTCTGGCCATAGATATGAAGTATGGGGTCCATTATAATAGGCTAGCTCTGCAGACTGAGGACCAGGAAGCTGCTATGATAGTGACCCCCTGCATGTCAACGGCAGTATGCGCAGGTCACACTAAACTCAAGCATGGGAGTCCTTGCGCGCCTTACACTGATCTGCAGATGTGCCCCCGTAAATGCTACACCACACAACGCTGTTTATTTTGACAACAGTTTTACAAGAAAACAAAGGGATGGAACTGTAACAGCAAATCGCCACTCTCAAGCTTAACGAGGACTTTGATGCTGCAGAAGGAAGAACACCTGAGTTTTAACCTCGTGTATTTCCATCTGCTTGTCGCTTATATTAGCTGATTTCTTGCGTGGCTTACTCTGAATGTGAAAGTGATATGTTCCTCCGAAGCGTCATTCTTGCTCCTAATTACACGGTATTACAATTTAGAACACTACAATCCTCACAGATAGCGTTGTTGAGAACATCATGTGGAAAGAATTTTTACAAAAATTTGAGACATATTTCTTAATAAAATCAGTTAAGTAAGATTTGAGGTTCCCGAAGCGATGGTTATGAAGAATTTCTTTCTTGTGTTATTCTTCGACTCTGAAGATGGAGGCGACATATTCTCCCGAAACGTTGGATTACTCTCAGCGGACTGTACGACATGCCTAAAGGTCGATTCTGCCAGGAATATGACGTACTTCTTCAGTTCTGCAGTGAGGTGAACTGGGGTGTGTACTTTGATATCTTACTGCAACTCAATTTTTCTCGAGAAAGGGNCATTATAATAGGCTAGTTCTGCAGACTGAGGACCAGGAAGCAGCTGATAATTACTAGGAGGAAGAGCCACATGACGACCCATCTTCCGGTAGATAAAGTCAGTCTTTCTACGTTACACAAATTTTGTAAGAAATTTTAATTAGACTGATAATTTTAACTATAATTTTGCCATTTCATTTATTGTATAATTAAACAAACTGTGAATTTAGGAACACAGTTCAATAACTGATATATTAAAATTACCGAGCCTGTCCCTGATTAATACAATTTTCTCATTTCAAAGAAATTGAAATAGATGTGATATTATTTCATGAAATTACGCGATGAAAGTTTTCAGCGAGGTATATCTGTATTTAATGAACATGGTTGGTGTGCCTGTTATAATTTCGTAATTTGCAATAGAGGTCATAACTTGATAATATAATTTACTGGTCTCATTCTGTCACAAACCTTGCGAAGTACGAAAGAAAAATGGGGGAGTTATACATTACAATTATATTTCGAGAAAGAACGCGGATGGTGTTCCTGTTTTGTATTCTGGAAGCCCCTGACTGTTTTTCCTGGTTTTCCTCAGAGCTTCCAGAAACTAGGGTTAACACTAGTTTAAAATTAGTACACTACCAGTTTTTCCATATTCATTACAATTCATTCCTAACTAGCAATCCTACGATAAGGCCGCGCCATAGCTCAAGGGGTTAGTCGCTGGCTCCCCACCGCGACTGCCTGGGTTCGATCCCAGGTCTGGTCAAGTGGGATTCGTGGTGGAACAAAGTGGCGCTAGGGCTGGTTTTCTCCGAGTACTTCGGTTTCCCCTGCCAATCTTCATTCCACCAAATTCTCCATCATCATAATCACCCGGGGCAGGCTACAATAGGCCAATCAGTGGCAGCCGTGCCGAGTGGACCCAGTTGGACTCCACCCTCCACTTACTTACTTAATCATGGAGCTGAGCCCTTCTGGAGGAGCCACCTATTCTGCAGCTACTCAAGAATTTCCCGTTCCGTGTTCACAAGAGCCCTCCACTGGTCCCTATCCTGAGCCAGATATATCCAATCCATACCATCCCATCCTATCTCTCTAAGATCCATTCTAATATTGTCCACCCACCTAGGCATTGGTCTTGCCTGTGGAATCTTTCCTTCTGGCTTTCCCACCAATATGTACTATACGCAATCCTCGTCTCCCCCCATTCGTGCTACATGACCTGCCCACTTCATCTTCCTTGACTTGAGCATTCTAATTATACTTGGAGAAGATTATAAGTTATGAGTCCCCCCCCCCACTAAGCGAATTAAAAACTTCCTACGATTGAACACTATGTAGCCAATGGGAATGTTGCGAGCGAAGACACGAGTTCGCTTCGCTTATTCTCGTCTTCAGAGTACAGGCAAGCAGAGAAAAATCTGCTTGCTACCTGTTTTCACTTTGGTTTCTTGCTCGGGTTTTCCTTCGGACCTGAAAATGAAGGCGATATCGCCATCCGAAACGTCTATTGACTTTCAGTGGATAACACGGCCTTATATCGCAGAAGACATGGCATGCAGAGTTAATTATTATATGGGCTAGGAGCGATCTCAAGAATACTTTTTCTCTTTGGTCATAGAACGAGGAGTCGCAAAGAAAATTTATCGGTGGTGAGTACCTATCTGATGAAATTTGAGGTACGTCTGTTGGTATTCTATGGGAGCAATAATATCATGCCCTGCACAGGAACCATGTCGAATTTCGCCGGTGTTGTGCTGTAATATTTTAATAAATCCTCAGACTTGCTGATGTCGCTCACTTATTACCCGATTAATGGACAAACCAAACCTAGCAAATATTTTGCCAATCCTTATGTCGCTAAACAGACACACCTTCATTGTCAAGTTTCAGCCATGAAGTCCAGTTGGACTGAGTGATGTCAGCTAGTTCAAAAAATTGTGCCAGATTTTGCTGCTATATTAAGGAAAACCAATTGCCCTTCTATTCTGTAAGTAGAACATTTGGAAAGTTTCCTGAGGAAGAATTACTCCACTGGTTTCATCTTTATTATGGTAATCCTCACTCAGACCTACCACCATCCTTTTGCAATTATGATCAAGGAAAATAGCGAGATTCTCGTCCATGCTCAGGGTTCTAATGCATTTCTCTGTAGTTTAGAAGCATTGAGTTCCCGAGGTTGAGCATTCCTTAAGATGTAACTGGTTCACCCATTTAAGGACGTGCAAATAATTTTAATTTTTTTGTATTTTATTGTGGTAATCCTGACTCAGAAGTTCCACCTTTGCATTACTTTTTATCGAAGGACTTACCCGAGTGAACAATCAAGTGTATCAGCCATATCCATGCTTGTAATTGCTAATGTACAAGCAAGGTGAAAGCTAAAGCTATCCTTGTAACATGCCGTGGAGGCCCATAAGGTTGTGAGACGTAGAGGCTCCCACATTTTATAGAAAATCTGTTCACAGTTGGGTAAGATCAGCCTTAGCGTCGGCTGTCCTTTGCCCCCCATGAAGATTCCTGATGCTCATGTCTGTTAGAGGCTGAGTCTACCCAAGGGCCCTAGTGCGGCTTAAAATATTAGGTAAACTAAAAAACATCCAATAACCTTATTGGGATTCTATCCCGCGACCTTCCGACTTGTAGAATAGTGCCTCAACTAAGTACGCTCCCGCGTGCCTCTTACAAGCAAAATATGATAAAATATTTGAGAATAAACCAATGATCTCTCT